GAAGGTGGAAAAAGGACGGTGAATCAGGTAGTGGAGTTGCCTCAGGAGTAGCATACAGTGCAGGTGAAATTTGGGGGCAGTTAACCTTCCATTCTGTAGCTGATGTACTACTGTTCCTCCTCCGAAGCTTGAGTTAGGAGAGGGAGGTGGTTTTGAATAAAAGCCAGACCTATCAACAGATTTAGAATCTCTTGATTCTAACAACCTATCCAAAGCAGTACAGTCGTAAATGTTGGCATGGCCTACATGATCAACGAACAAAAACATAAGTTACTAAGCCGTATGTATCATTTTCCAGGAGAACCTAAAGGAAGGTGAACACAAAAATCTCATTGTTGCTACTTTGGGAACATCATACTTTCCATGACCTCGAATACCCAGAGATGGCACACTGACCAACTAGAAATCTAAAACTATACAGGTATATAACACCATTTTTTATTGTAGCTTTTTCTCTTCTGACACCACTAAAATTAAATAAAAGGGTCAAAATATGGGAGAGTTATACTATATGACAACCTTAATATATGGTTAAGGGAAGATTCTATTGAAAATGTTAATATTTTTTTTAATATTTCTGGTAAAGTGCTACCTAAATTATTATATTTTTATCGAAAATATTAATTTCGCTAACTAATTTCCGGTAGAATCCAATATTAACATTTCCGGTAGAAAAAATAATGTTTTAAGTAACGCTTTACAGGAAATCTTAAACATTTTAGTTAACGCCCAATATTAACATTTTCGGTAGAAAAAATAATGTTTTAGGTAGCGCTTTACCGGAAATATTAAAAAAATATTAACATTTCCGTTAGCGTCTTTCCTTAGCCGTATATTAAGACAGAGACATCTCAAAATATGTGAAATTTCCATTTTTATAACAACAACAACAACAACAACAACAAAACCCAATTCCCATATGTATGGGGTAAGGAGGAGGTAGGGTAGTAGGCTGCCCCCAACGCCAGGTTGAGAATAACTTCCGTGAAAGACTCCCCGGCAGTCAGAAAATTAAAATATAGATAAAATGCAATGCATGTATAAATAATTACATAAATACATAGCTAAACAGTATTCATATGCAGTCATTAATATCATATGTGCTTCTGTAATGGGGAGTAATCTATTTGGTAACAATGAAATGTAATTTCGAAAGAAAATATGAAAATCTATTTATTTTACTCCTGCCTGCAAACGGATAATTTTACAATTCAGATTTTAATACCCATTCGCTCTATTGGTAACGGTACTATTTTTTTCAAATTATTTAGTATTTACGAGTAAGTATAAGTTCATTTCACTTTGTAATTATTAGCCATCACATGACTTAGTCTGAACAAAGGGAAGGAAAATATTTTGCTTATTTTGAAGAAGTCTTACTTTTACTAGAGTTTTTATTATCTTTCTAATTTCAAGTTTAAATTCGTACTAATTCTATGACAAATTACTTTCAGCCTTATTAATAATTAAACTTCCCTTGTGTTAATACATATCTAATCAAATGAGGCAGTAAACAATTTCCTCTTGCCTCAAATTGGGACTGTAAGCTAAATATCAACCATAAAATCCTAAAGCCAAAATCTCAATCCAAGAATTCAGCTATATTGTTACAATAGTTTTCTTCAGAAAAACCTGAAGGCTGGTTTTGAAAATCATGTCGCTAAATTAAATGTTGCCTTGCATTAAATATATAAAATCTAAATGAGAAAGTGAATCGAAAACCTGTGCTATCAGAAACAGCAAAATTGAAAAGCATGAGCGTCATCTTGATTTAACAGCACCCAAACAGAACAAAAAATAAAGAAATTCACGTTAACTATTTAATCAAAAAAATGAAAAATAGTAAAGAAGAAAAAAATTAAGGAAATGGAAGAAGGAAAACGAAATGCCTCGTAATATAACAGAGCTATCAAGAGTAGCTAATTCAATAACTGGGGGGAAAGGAGAGGGAAAAAACCCGACAAACCTAAAAACAAACAAAAAGAATTCCAAATCTATAAAAAAAAAAGGAAGGAGATGCATCACCTTATAATAATAATAGAAGAAACAGCGGGGCTGAGCGGCGGAGATAGTGACGGAGCGGTGGCGCGTCGAGAGAGAACCGGATCAGATAAGAGCGCGCGAAGTAAAGAGATGCCCCCGCAACTGATTCGAACGAAGGAATTTGTTTTTGGCTATTCCTAGCTGCCACGCTGGGAATTATGGAAATGTCGGACTTAATTTTAATAATAAGGGACAGTTTCGGGTTTTCGAGTTATATATATATATATGATATGTGTCCAAATGATGGGAGGTTGTCGTTTTGTGAGAGGAAATGACTGTCGTTTTGGGTAATCGCAACGCGAATATGTAAATCGCAATGCGATAGTCAGAATCGCGTTGTGAATCTAGAAATTGATTTGTAATACCGGAGATCGCATTGCTAATTATCGATCGCATTGCGATTTAGTTGGTTATTTTGGCAAATCCAAAAAAAGTTGGTTAAAATCGTATATTATAAAGCATTTTTGGTCACTGAGATTATTTTCTCTTTTACGAAATATTGCTCACCAAGAGTGACGGTGATGATATTCGAACCTGAACTTACAAGCTCAAATTCTTGAATCTCAACCACTTGTACCAACACTCATTGATTATATATAAATAATTCATGAATATCAACAACTTGTGTCAACACTCATTGACTGTATATAAATTATATAATACAATATTATAAAAAAAATTCTTATATTTATTATCTACAATTTCTATTTCCAATAATTAACCACTATTACCTAAATAACACTAACAAAGATGATAGTTATAAGAGAAAATAACCTCAGTGATTAAAAATGTCTTATAATATACGATTTTAATCAATTTTTTTTGGATTTGCCAAAAATAACAAACTAAATCGCAATACGATTGATAATTCGTAACGCGATTTCCGGTATCGCAAATCAGTTTCCAGATTCGCAACGCGATTCTGACTATCACATTGCGATTTTCCAAATTCGTGTTGCGATTTTCCGACTATCGCAATGCGAATATGTAAATCGTAATGCGAGTATGACTATCGCAACGCGAATATGTAAATCGCAATGCGATTATGACTATCGCAATGCGATTCTGACTGTCGCAATGCTGAATTTACATATTCGCATTGCGATAGTCGAAGTTCGCGTTGCGATTTTCCAAATTCATTGCGATAGTCGAAGTTCGCGTTGCGATTTATTCCAAATTCGTTGCGATAGTCCAAAATCGCAACGACTGGTGGTATTGCATTTGTTTCTTAAGAATTTTCTCTAAAAGATAGTATTCGCGCGTACGTGTCGAAGACACGTATTACCACGACCACGACCACGACCCGACCCGACCCGACCCGACCCGAGACGAGACGGACGGCGGCGGCGCGCGAGAGTCCCCATTGTTCTCTATTACTCAACAAGGAAGTGGGAAAACCAAGCCTTAAATACAATTCCCAATAGTGTTTCCAATACTATATGGGATTGAGCATTACCAACACTTGTTCCCAATACTATGTGGGATTGAGCCTTACATAGTGATATTATTTTTGAATGTTTTGCTTAAAATTGTAATAATCGCGATTGATTGTAGATTGACTTTTAATTATGACATATTTAATCGTATAATACTAATGCAATTGGTTGCTGATTCAGTTGTTTTAAGGTGCATGATTGTTAATTGTTTCCTGAATAATCACATTGTATTGGAAACAAGTGTTGGTAATGCTCAATCTCACATAGTATTGGAAACACTATTGGGAATGATATTTAAGGCTTGACTTTCCCACTTCCTTGTTGAGTGATAGAGAACAAGGGGGACTCTCGCGCGCCGCCGCCGTCCGTCCGTCTCGTCTCGGGTCGTGGTCGTGGTAATACGTGTCTTCGACACGTCCGCGCGAATACTATCTTTGCGAATTTATGAAACTCGCGTTGCGAATTTGGAAACTGTGTTACGAAATTGAAGTTCGCGTTGCGAATTTATTGGTTATTTTCGTAAATCCAAAAAAAGTTGTTTAAAATCGTAAATTATACGGTATTTTCGGTCACTGAAGTTATTTTCTCTTAAAAGTATTTTCTATAATCAACTTGTTGAGGGATTTTTTAAAGTGTACGATCGGCTAAAATTAGACTTAATTATAAAATAAGTGTTCAAATTATAGTGTTTTTTTTTATGAATATGTCTCTAAATTATTTTTTTAATGATATTAGTGTCTAACGTTACAAACGTCACTACTTTAGGTACTTGGACTGTCAAATGCGTTAATTTTCTCCGTTAAGTGACATGTATCACAATCTGATAATTTTAAAAAAATTATTTAAATTTAAAAAATAAAAATAATACTTAAAAACACATAAATTTTGAAATAACCCCAAAACTTTAAAAACTTTCATTTAAACCCCTAAACACATACCGACCATCATCCTTTTCCGATGATGAAGCTCGACTCAACCTCACCTTCCCAACAACCAAAACTCCCTGAAATTGTGATCGATCAACGACAAATCGATGTTTTATACCTTTGTGCTTTGGGCGTGTGTTCGAACCCCATCACGCCATTCTCGTCAAATTTTTGTCATTTACAAGTTCATCATTTTGCCAATTAGGTCCTCCACATTTTGTAAATTCTTCGATAAGATCCTCGTGTCTCTCCACTTCAATAAATCGATGATGTATGGTCATTATCATCACCTTTTATAAATTTTCTTTAAAAAGTTATGATGTTAATTAAATATTATTTTTTAAAAAATATTTTTATAAAATTTAATATGAAAATATAAAAAATAAAATTATTATTTAAAAATATATTATCATAACTTTAAAATAAATCGCACAATAATATAGATTTTCTGGCTCTGTACATATTATGTAAATTTTAAAATATTATAAAAATTAAAATATTCTACACGTTTAGTGACTAAAAGTGTACTTTACCCTATTTTTAATCTTAGTAAAACGAGTAAATACTTCTCTAATCCAGGTCAGTATTCAGAGGCACTGAGCTTCCTTTGTAGATACTTTCAATGTGGAAACAGCCGATATATAAATCTTTCCCTTTTATAAATCGGCTCAAAATTTCCACCATGGGAGCTGCTTCCTCTAACGCTCTATGTTCTTCTTCAAGCATCACCAAATCGCTTCCAATACCACCGTTTCTCACTAAAGTTACAATAGCCCATTTTCGCAAACTCCTTCGAAGGCTAAAGAGCGACGCCTATTTCAGAGTCTCTGCAAAACCCATTCATTCTTCTTCTTTCAACGCCAACGACAAGGATGTGGCTTGGAACAAAGCTGCGGATGTTGTTATCAGTGGCGATGGAAAAGCTGAAGACTTTGGGTGCAAAGATAAAGTCGTAACAGTGGTTGTTTTGGGATGGCTTGGGGCTAAAACAAAGCATTTAAAGAGATACGTTGAATGGCACAATTTAAGAGGAATCCACGATGTTACTTTTGCAGTAGATGTTAATGAATTGCTATGGTTTGATCTCGGTGTAAGGCTCGAGCGGCGTATATCTGGATTGAGAAATGAGTTGGCCGAGTGGGTTTTGGAGAAAGAGGAAGATGGTCGTGAAAGGTGCTTCATTTTCCATGCGTTTAGCAACACTGGCTGGTTGATGTAAGTTTAATGAATGAAGGGCTTTTTTTTCATTTTCAAATTTTGATTGTTGAAAGTAAATTTGGGTTTTTTTTTTTGGGCAGATATGGTTCACTTCTTGATAGCTTTCAGGGAAGAGATGGATTAAGAGAGAAGATAAAAGGGGTGATTATTGATTCAGGAGCAGCTGACCCTTTTAATCCTAAGGTTTTGTTTTGTATGTTGATTCTTTGAGTTCTAATTATGACTTTGATTTAAGTATAGTTTTGACTTGTGAATTTCAGTTTTGATCTTTATGTAAAATTATGAATTTCAGATAAGTTACATGCAATGGAATTAATAAGATCCAAGCTTTAGGTTTTGTGTTGATGAACTTGAGTTCTTTAGCTGATTTTACTAAAGATTTGGTCTTAAATGGCATACAATGAAACTATTATGATTCATGCTTATGCAAATTCAAATTATGGACTGTGATTCATTGCCTTTATCCAAGAGAATGAGAATGAGTTCAGGTTCTGGTTGTGAACATTAGGAAATTTCTGCGAGTGGTAGCCCTATATATTTTATCAAAGTTAACATCCATGTATTGTGCTTTGTCTACTCAATTGAGTTACGTACTACTAGCCGTATAAACGACACTGGAATTCTTATGCCCGTCTTCGGGATGTTTGAATAATAAGCTTTCAACATTTTATCTTTCATACTATTCTGCATTTCACTAGCTCTATCTATGTCATTGAATGGAAGCTTCATTGACTGTTTATCCTCTGGAGGGGAGAAAATGGATCTCATCTTATCCTAGAATACTTGCAATATTTAAGCTTAATTGTCTTATTCGTTTTCTAAAATCTGGGAAATAATACATTATATCTCTAGCATTAAAACAAAAAACATGGTTAAACTTTGAGCTTGTTTGCTGGTGTATACTATCGTAGGTTCATTGTTCCAGCTTTGAACTTTGTAATTTCATTTGGATGAATTATATACTTGTTCTGAAAACTGGAAGTACTGATGAGTCACGTATTCTTTTCAATGCAGGTCTGGGCAGCCGGTTTCACTGCTGCTATACTGAAGAAACAGAGCTATTTAGTAAATGGATTAAGAAGTGCAGTGACTGATTCAAAATTACAGAAAGAGGAACCTGGGATTATCGAAGCTGTGCTGCTGTCTGCCCTGGAAAAGTTCTTTGCTTCTGTTCTAAATATGCCCGATGTGAACCGGTAGGTTTTCCCTTTAGGCCATGTATCGGTTGTCTTACATTGTTAAATGACCAGAAATATGCTTTCATGCCGACATGCCATACAATGTAAACTCTACGAATATGATCATCTTGTGGTTGTGACGAATAACGGATTGATACAACTACTACTTTTTTCCTCATTATGCAGAAGGTTAAAAAAAATTGTCAATGCAGTCATGGAGCACCCTCCTCCCTGTCCTCAGCTGTACCTTTATAGCACAGCTGACAAGGTTGTCAACTATAAATCAATCGAGTTGAGTATCGAAGAGCTGCAAAAGAAGGGAGTAAAAGTATTCTCGTTCAACTTCGGCACAACTCCGCACGTTGACCATTATCGGACTTTTCCCAACGTATATTCATCTCAGCTTCATAATTTTTTGAAAGAATGTTTTGCTGTTAAACAAAGATGAACCCTACGAGTACCGGTGCATTTTCTCCAAAATGGCCATGAAAGGAACCATGGCATCGGCGACTATTATACCGGTGCATTCTTTCAATACATGAAACCTTGGAGGTAGTTTGTTTGACAAGAAATCTACAATAAATAAAATTTTTCCTCCAATAATTGATTGCAACTCGAACTGCATAAGTAAAACATTGAACCTTTCTTGGAGTTCATATTACAATTGTGAGTATAAAACTATTAGAAATTTACAATATTTTCCCTTAAGTTTGTCCTCAAGGTATGTCCTGCAACTTATGCAGAAAATACATACACGCATCACACATGTATACATACACACACATATACATATATATATGTATGCATGCATGCATGTAACCAGAAGATACATTTTATACACAAACTTGGTCTTTGTCGAACTTTGAGAAAAGTTTTCAACAGTTTAACATGGTGGCAAATCCTTGGGAGGAGGCAGAATTGATTGATCAGCTCCCTTTCCATCTTCAACCACAAATGCCATTTTCAATCCCCAGCCTGTATGGAGCTCCAAATGACAATGCATAAACTAAACACCTAAACCGGGAAAATTCAACGAAATGAAGATTTATGTTATCTGATTCCGAGTTTTTTCTATATCAGACATGAATAATTTAAAGAAAATAAATTGAGTTTATTACCTGGATTGTCTGCTCTAAAACGAATAGGTCCAACCCCCTGTCGAACACCGATGGTGTTCCTTTCAACAGGATCAACCAAGTTGTACTTAGCGGATCTTTGACAGGATCAAAGTTTCTAGTACCGGTTCCAACGACGAATAAGTTGTAGCCATGGAGATGGAAAGGATGTGACTCAACTGTAAGGAGATTAGTGTCTTGCAGCACTAGCTCAACTGTAGAATTGAAGTCAATCTTGCTAAGCCTTGTTCCATGTGCAGTGCCAAGATTTGCTGTCAAAGGCGCACAGTGTAGTTAAATGGCTTAAGAGGTTTATCAGGGAAATCGGTTCTGAAAACTCCACGATGTTGAAGTAATGAGCTTGGAGAAATCCGGTTTAGGCATCACAAATTAAATGTCGTTCAACGAAGCTAAGATTCTCGTTCGTTAACGCATGTTGGGCAAGGATCTTTGCCGAAACCGACCTTGTAGAACAGTTTTCGGTCGACTTTAAGGGGCACATTTGCTGGAAAATTGCAAAGTTCAGCTCTTCTGGTTTTGTTGTAACTCAAAGCGAAATCTGTGTCATTGGGAGCTGGTAATTGAGGAAGTGTAGGAAGAACAGTGTTGGGGATTCCTTTGTATTGGAATATCTCTGTAGCTGTTTGTTGTCTACAGGAAGTGGAACGTCCATGAAAGGCCTAGCAGCCATGAAATATCTGCCAGGGGATCAGTCGGCTCGAACAAGAATTGTGGTTTGCCCCGGTGCAATCAGTATCGCTTGAGTGACAAACGGCTTTGTATAAACCGCATCGACCTCAACTACTTTCATGTTGTGACCTGCTATTGTAAAGAAAAGCTCGTCGTTGAGGGCAGTGTTGACGATTCTTAGCAGGTACGTTTTCCTTGACTCGACTTCCATCGCAAATGTATCTGAAAAAACAATAAACATTCAGGATTGAACACTGAGATTGCATTCGAAAACATGTTTTCGACAAAAGTTTCTTCGAGTTGCTGCTTACGTTTCTCGGAACATGGAAAAAGAGGTCTGGGTTTCCCGTTGATAGTGTGTGCATCCGACATATTTGGTGGCAATCCCATCTTAGTTCCTTGCCTGACAATCTCTTCAACATCTGGGTGCCACCATTCCCCTGCATCATGAACACAGTTTTCACCATCATATCATCATCACAAGGAACTTATAAAACCAATTGAAAAACATGACTTTAGAACCGACCTAATACAACAATCTGTTCCATATTTGGCTTCGGATACGGAAATGGCGTTCCCGGTTTTGGAATGATGACAATGGCTCCATACACTGTATCCCTTAGCCAAAGAATGTGTGCATGCCACCATAAAGTTCCTCTTTCTCCTGTTACATTGAAGTCATAAGCGTAGCTATTCCCGGTCTGAATCGGACACTGCATTATGTAAGCCAGTCCATCTGCCCAAACGTTTCGATGCTGCTTCAATCCATGCCAAAACAGATCATCAAAAAACGTTATAGGAAATCTTTGTTTCAAATTTTTTTCTTCATATAAATTATTAAAATCCTACCAGTGAATCGACATGTTAAATTTTGCATGGTTCGTAACATTGACAATAACTCTTATCTCCTTATGTAGCATATATTGTCGGCCCCAAAACCTCCCGTTTACCATCACAATCGGCTTCGCATGTCACAGTCTGCTAACATTCTTCACTCAATCTGTTCAAAAAAACACATCATTTCCGAGTCAAAATCACGGGACTTCAAACAAACGAAACGTTCATTTCTGAGTTAACTCACGTCAAACTAGTACTTCCTCACAGCAGCTTCTGCAGGCAAAGCAATGAATGCAATGAAACCAACGAGAAAAAGGGTCGTTTTGGAAACAGAATCGCCACCGATTGCCATTTGAGCCGAGCTAAAACTTTGAAAAAGTCAATGCTTGTGTGGATGTGAGACATGAAGGTTGAAGCATACGAGTTATTTGTAAAAGAACAAGAGAATGAAGCTGATTAGGTAAAAGAATTGCAAAGGAGTCTTTGATATGTCAAAGCTTGTAAGCAAAATACTGAAAGAGACTTTGAGTTGCCATTGATAGTCGTAGAGGTTTAGATTGTTATACCAAGAAGCAAAATATTGAAAGAAACTTCCCATATCCGATTTGATCTTAAAATAATTCAAAGACTTTTTTGACCGCATATTGAAAGGTATGTACCAATCTAATCCTACATACAACACCAAGCTTTACCGTGAAGGAAAAGACTTTTTTAACCGCATATTGCATGATTATTTTAACCTCATGTTTTAAGGGTTTTTTTTTTCCTTATTAGAAGTTGTATTGAAACTTGAAGTACCTAAGTGAAAACCGGGTATAATTAAGGGGCTAATTTGGCAATTAATCCAATAGAAAATGACTTTTTACCATGGTATAATGATTAAAAAACTAATTTCTGAAAGGCTTACTTCAAAGCATTTTGCAGCAATGCTTTGTAAGGCTCAGTTTGCTTATTTAAGGGCACATATGCTTTGCAGGGAAACTTTGTATTGCTGTCACCGAACCATTTTCAAAATAGAAACAATATGTAAATGGAGGAATATCAACCTTAAAGTAAAGAAAACAAACTATGCAATAATCTTTAAACTTTTAAATGTTTGACTTCATCCTCAAATTATCACTCACGTCCCTAAACTTTTGAATATTTCAATTTTATCTCGAACCGTCAATATATACTAATCGTGTATCATGTTAATAAAACCTTTAGAAAATTATTAACGGCCATGTAAACACTAATGTGTATTATGTAATAATATGATATGACATAAATGAAAATTAATGGTATACCACGTCTCCGAATCATTATTTAGAATAAAGTTGAAAAGTTCTTGGTTTTTATTTTTGTTCTCTCAATTTGATTATAATTATTTCTATGTTTCAAAGATAAATTATTATTTATTTAAAAAAATATTGGTTATCATTTATGAAATACTATTATTACATAACATGCATAAGTGTTTAAATAGAAAGTAACAATTTGTAATGATTTATTAATAAAGAATGTGATTAATGTATAACGATAATTTGAGGATGAAATCAGAATGTCTAAAAGTTTAAGAATTAATTTAGAATGAAATATGTATAAGCTTAAAGAACAATTTATAATGAGTCATAATTTGAGATAAAATAAAAAAAATAAAAAAAAAATTAAAGATCAATTCAAAATTAAGTCATAATTTTAGGGCGTATGATACAATTAATTTGAATCATAATCTTAAACTTGCGTAAATGGCTATTTGCCCAACAAAGGAACAAAACACTTTTGCAGGTGAAGTCCCAAAGAAAAATAAAGATTGAAAACGCCCAAACTATTTACGAACATGAGCTCATATTCCAACCCAATTAGCCCAAAAGGCCATCTCAGTTAAAAGATTTTCATTATCCCATTAAAGAGTTCGTTTATTTCCCCTAAAAATATATTTTTAAATATAAATTATGGAAAATAAATTATAACTTTTAAAATTAATTCTCAAAATAATCTTATTTCATATTGTTTAAATGATATTTTATAAATCATTTTTTATATTTTATAAATTATTCATTTTAATACCAAAGATAGTAAATAATATTATTTATTAAAAAAAACTTAATATTATTATTTTAAAATCTTAAAATAATATTATTAAATTATTCATACCTGTATAGATTAGAGGTATTTATACTTTTAAAATTGGCTTAATACAAAAATAATTGTCTACATTATAACTCAAATTTACTTTTGCTATCTAAAAGTTTTTCGTTAAAATAAGTTCATACGTTTTCTCATTATATTTAGGTACATATTGTTGATTTTTTTAATAATAAAATTATTATTTAAAAAAATCAAAGAAATAAACACCAACCTCGTGTCTTCCCTCTCCCTCTCATCCACTGCATCCAACGGTGAAGGGTCACTATGTAGCACCCATTTCTCGTATACGTCCTCATACACGAGTTGTAAATGTCACATGTCTTTTAAAATGTTTTTGTACTTGAAAACTAGTAAAATTTGATTCTTTAAATAAAACGGTTTAATAAATAAATATACTTCTACTATAACATGTGTCAAAACCCATATTAAAACAATACAAACTCTTTTACACGTATACATGCCAACTAAAAATTTAAAAACAACAGTAGTATGTCATTACTGATACCGATAAGTAATATTCGATGATTTTTACCAAGCTTAGCTCCTTATTCAACTCACTCCTTTTACATACGCGTTAAAATCATCACACGCTAAGTATACACTTAGTGAGGCATATGAAGAGTAAGTAAAACATATTAAAGCATAAGTAAGCCATAAAAGATCAAAATACAAATTAAATCGTATAAAATATATATAAACGCATAAAACTTACTTAATAAGCTAAATTTCCGTCACA